GCTGGTATGTTGATCTCCCCAATACTTTTATCTCACATTATTTGCATGATCTGGCAGTATCTTCCTTAGAGGTTTTTCGACTACCCCCCTGTGGCTATCTACTAGATTTTAGAGGAGTGAGTATTTTCATTACTAGTCTTGTCTCTTCTTTACTTTCCAGGGTCCCTCACCTCTTTTTTCACAGGATTTCATTCTGTGCAAGTGTTTCTAAGTCAGGTGTGCTTTTATCAAACAAAATCTGCATTAACAACCACTAACACAATATATTTTATCTAGGTTGCTACAGGCACTGTAGAAATGAAGCATTCTATAAGACCACCTAGTGGCTGACTGGGTGGTATTACTGTACTATGCTGACCACTACTCATGGATTATCATGAGTAAAGCATAAGGGAATCCTGCCCATCCCTGCTGATCATTGGATTAAATATATTGGGGTCAGTCTGCTTTTAAAAACATAGGGAACTTGGTTCACCTGTTGCACTGTTTGTAGTTTCCAGTCATTCGGTTGGTGGATTGAGGTTATCCCACCAGAGTGTTCAAGTGACTTTCCTCCAATCTTGAAGTTGGGACTCTGGATCTTTTTTCCCCGGATGTCAATAGGAGCAACACCAGCCTATGCAGAAGCATAGTTGTAATACCGTTTCAGATTTGACACTTAGCTATTTGGTTGGGTTGAGCATGGATCTTCTCTTTGATCAATATTGGTTCAATACATTGTACATGGAAGATGGTCCATTATTTCCCTGTAATTCAGAATGAAGAGTGCTCCCATCCTGAGTCCTTGGTTGAGCACTGTTTATTCCATGTCCTCCCCATAATTTTGGGGGTAAGTGGAATTTTCCTTGCCCTCACTGCTGGGAAGTGAAGATGAGTGTTGATAATTTCAGACCAGATGAGAGTTCTGTTTCCTATAATTCCAACCCTGAGCAGTGGGACCTCAACTACCTAGCCAATGGTGATGACAGATCACATCAAATTCCACCTGCAGTGCATGATTTAGGTTCCGGGGAAAAGGCATACATGTTTTGGATGTAGTGTGGTTTCCCCCCTAGGGTGCTAATCTTCTATTGGCACAAGTGGAGGTAAGTATGTTTTGGAAGTCAACATTTTTTTAAATTGAAAATGTATTTCCAATAATACTTACCTCCACACTATGAGCTGGTATTAGAAACTGCAGATTAGGTCAGTCTAAAAAAATGACAATATTTTCTGAAGGAGGTGCTTATATACAGTACCAAGATAGAAGGCACGTTGACATAGGTGGAGAGTGTCACAAGAGAGATATCACCAAGGGCAATTATAAGACTAGAGCAGCGAGAAAAAATCAGACCATTGTTTAGATGGGCAAAGGAAAAGAAACCCTAGCTGTAGTGTGACAAAAGGTGAGTATTATTGGAAATACATTATCTATTTTAGAAAATTTTAACTTTCATTAGCAGCACAAAAACTGTGTAATTTGAAATACCTTGCACTTGTATACACAGACTGAATGTTTTACATACTTATAAAAATTATATATTATGTATTTTTACCTTCAAATTTCACATGTGTATTTTACTCTTGTGTCTAAACCTTTCACATATGAGGTCCTTTTCAGGAGTTCTCAGTGTAGAGGTACGTGTAGGATTGAATTCTGAATGGAAGAAGTGGTTGGATTTTGTGCCATTATTGCAGTTTTTCAACAGTCAGACAATTAGGTAAGTTTTGAGAAATCATTTCAAACTTGGAAAACCAAGTAGCTTCTAACAGGACAGTTTAAGGCCCTTTTTTGTAGTCACCATATAATTTAATGTTTGTGCAGAAGTAATTTTATTTACTTCATTGTTCATAGAATATTTAATTATGATTGTGCCGAGATTGTTACATAGTAAAAAAATGTTATAGTGCTAACCATATATCTAGTGTCATGCCTGTTTCATTTTTTTTATGCACTCACTGTAAATTATAAAAAATATACCAATATAATAGATTGAATTTTATAGAATTCAAAAATGATATATATTAAACAGCATAATTTAACATGTAATATCTTTTTCTGATATAAAATATGCATTATCTGGAAAGTAAACCTAACTTGTGTTATTTCCACACAGTAAAGTATGATGTTCCTATAATGATTTATAAGGTATAGGTTGTATAGGATTTTAGCTGGAATGAAAAAAGATTGTAATATGGTAATATAGGATGAAATTAAATTTATCAAATTTTCTTTTGTTTTTCTTTCTAGCTTTTAACTTTTAGTATATAGATCCTGTAATTTAATTGTTGTTCAAAGTAGGCTAAGGCTTTGCTAACACTATACCTTAACATTAATAATCAAAATAGCATGGTCTTCTGTTACAGATTTCATGCATGATGTTATGACATATGAAGCTTAATAAGACGTTATTTACATCAAGTTACTGAAGTATAATTGATGAGCTTTATTATTAGGTTAAAGGCCTCATTGACATTGGATATGGCAGATGTAGTGTGTTTGATAGGACATATTTTCCTTTATTTTCACTCGTGGGTTCTTAGAGTTATTTTACACGTAACTAGCTGCCTTATAACATGAGGTAGAGTACAGATATATATAAATGCTTAAAAAAAGAACCACTGAATAAGGTGCAGAAAATACATCAGATAATATTATGATAATGTAGTAGTTCATGTCTGTTTAAATAATCACATTGTGGATTGTATTTGTATTCAAGAAAAGAAGTTTGGCAATAGAATGTGAAGAATCTGGAAGCTGCACAATGTTATACCCCACCAACACTTGATGTAATACAGGTTTCTTAGGCTTCATAAGCACTGTATGTTTATGAATTAATATGCCAAGTTGGAATAAAATAGCTCATTTATACTTCATTTATGGGTATTTTGTTTTTTAAAAGTCCAATGGACAGGTACTACTTAAATCTATTGAATTGGGAATTAATGAACCATGAGGAGATTATTGGAGGGAGGAGAACCAGTGCCAAACACTTTCCAAGTGTATAATAGTGGCAGAAGTAATAATATTGAAATGATCTTATTTATACTGGGTATTTGATGTTAAATAGGAAGGAGGAGAGATTGTACTGTGGCTGATGCTAGACTATTCTAGTGTGTATATCAGTCAGTCTTATTAAAATATAAACTTTTATAATGTTCTACAAGATGTGAGTTTTTTTTGTTAGCCCTGCTAATAAATACTTATTAACCACATGATTAGATAGAGATTTAACTACACAGATACCAATGCTAAGTTATGTATATAAATATAAATGTGCCATGTACTTAGTTGCTGCACTACCAACTATATAAATTTATTACAGTTAACATGTTTTAGTTTTAAGTACACAGTTAGTATTGTTGTGTAACGTACAGCGTTATCTTGATAATAGGCATAATACATTGCAATGTTGTAGGTCTCAAGACTGTTCTCAATCTTGAGACCACCATTCAGAAGGTCTTGGCCCATTTGGGTCTCGATGTTTTACAAGTCTTGAAAATGAGATTGGCTAAATTTAAAAGTTTTACCAGTATTTAGACCTACCTAGGATTATTAAGTGTTAAATAGCAATTATGCAGCAGTTCATATGAGGCATGATATAGCATCAAAGATGTTTTAACAGTAAAACCCCCTTGGTAGTTGGTACCACACCTTTGTAATGATGTTGATAGTGCCTCCCTTATTTTTGCTTATTACCTGTACATCAATCTGCAGTTATAACATGCACTACTCAAAATTAATTGCTACTATACATTGCATTATGCATAGGCTTAACTACATGTTTGTATGAACTTCATCTGGTGCACGTATTTGCATTAAACATTAGGGATTATCCTTGATTTTCAACATGTTTAGTAGATCTGCTGTGATCCTGTCTGGCTTCAAAGACCACGAAGAATTCATGGACACCATAAACTCTTGAAAAAAAAAAACGGTATTTCTTTTTTTGTCTTATTTGAGGAGATGTTAAAACAAAGACTGTGACGTTAATGTGTAAAAGATTTGTGGTTAAGATATTAATATAGTTTGATGCATGTGATTTATATTCTTGTTTTATTTTGCATTGTGTAATTTATCACAGCTCTTGGTTTCAAACTCTCAGATCTCGGTCTTGGACACTGAGGTCTTGACTACAACACTGGTATATTGTTACGCTCTGTTGGTTATAGCTCTAGTATTTAGCCTTTAATGACATTACTGTTACTGTGAGTTGAATTCTAAGTACAATTACAGAATTATCACTAATGTTAAGAGGTAGCTTAGTTTTAATACATGTTCAAGATATTAAGTCTAAGAGAGAGACTATTGGTAGGATGAGTCCCAGTGTTAAACTACCTTGAGCCTAGTTGTGTGTGACATTAAGTGGGGTAAATATATGGAATATCAGATCAATGGCTAACACAGTGTAGATCTTTATATTGTATCAGATAGTGACATACATGGTGGGTTGACAGATCATCAAGCAAAAAGCACACTTCACTACACTCCTAGGATGGAAGTGATGCAGAGATGTATGGTTACCATTCATAAGTAGGGCTGATCCTACACCAGGGAAGACTCTCATTGTTGGGCTGATATCTTGATATCATATTGGCCAGTGTGCACCCATCTCAAAAATGGCAGCCCTATTTTAATAGGTTGTTGACTTGCCTTGGTAAGTACAATAAGGTTAGAACAGGAGTTACTGGACAGTTAGTGGTTACCGTATTGCCTAGAGATAATGATACATTAAAAATTTGCTCCTACACAGATGACCACAGAGCAATGGAGCTTGTGCACACAGCATGGGGCCTCAATTATCCATCATGAGGAGGAGAAGAACAGGGTAATTGAGATTTAGACCTGAGCCAGTAAATAACATATGAATACAAAGCACATCAGACTCTGCTTGAAAACACTTTTATGTATTTAGTGGTAGGAGACTTCAATGCCAGACATCCCATCTATGATCCAGGTTAAAATTCTAATGGAAAAGGTTTACCTTCCACTATACACACCAACCTTATATTGCTAAACTTGGGTGAACCAGCAAGAATTGCAAAGTGCCAAGTGACAGAGACTTATGTGTAGACCTTTTGTTTTCTAACTCAACTTTCAGTGCCATCTCTACCTGGCATAGGGCACATAATGTCTGCAGTGATAATCTCATATGTGAGTTGTGCATGAAGACTGGAAGACAAAGTAGTATAAAGCAATCTAAAAACCCATACAAAGACGTCAACTTACTGGCAGTACTTTGTACTCTCAAACACCTTTCCACCATCAAGCAAAGCCAAAGCAACAACTTTTGCAAAACGAATGAGATTTTAGTGAAACATTGATACTGATAAAGCCTTGAAAGTGCACTTTCAAGCCTAGGCTGAGTTAATGCCTGTAACTTGGCATAGGATACAAGGATTGCACTGAATATAGTCTCTGCTCTCTACGTGTGATCAGCTTCTAAACCATTAGATGTGAAATGGAATGAACTATTCAGCAAGGTCCATCTCACAAACACTTCATTCTGGAATTTATACAAGCTTATGGCTGGCAAAAGAACCAAACGCATGGTGATGTCAGCCATTTTTCAATGATGATGGTACTCCATTCTGTAGAAATGAAGACCAAGGCATAGCCTTCATGCACAGACACATCATCCAATGTAACCATGGTGTCATGCAGGAGAGGCTCAAGCTTCAGAAACACTACTTACCTCTACATAAAGCCAATAGCTATTGTCTTGTGCTACTGCTAAAACTATTTTTGCACAAATGCCATGCCTTGAACAAAACTCTCATCTTTTATGTATTATTTGACAGATAGTTTAGGCAGAATATTCATAATGAGTTGACTGTGTAATGGGTGGCAACTGACTATAAGAGTCATACTTGTAGAAATATATTAGTAACTATACAATCAGCTCAAATGTAGAGGATGACGTTTCAAAAGTCTTCTGCCTTTCGTATTCAGGTTAATTTCTGCTAGCTACAGCAGGCCTTATAATAGTATCCAGTTGAATTGAGATGGACATGCTGTGATTGGTTGTTTGTTCCTGGTGGTGACTGGTTGAGTGACTGAGCATAGACTCAACCAATCATAGCCATAAGTTGCTGATTTCTGGGCCTTGTTTAACCCTTTTGAGTCAGGTAGGTCAAAATGTGCATGTCACATCCTTTTACAGAGTTCCAATCAAAATTCATTTAAATTACTTTATTGCCAGTGTATATGAATGAACTTGGCATTAAAACATAGTTAATAAATCAAGTTTTAATATTATATAAGTTTTATGTTTTTAATTTATATATATAGGAAATATTTAAAAACCTCAATCTTCCCTTGTATAAGAGTTTGACATTTGCTGTCTAAGTCTTCCCTCTTCTCTAATTTATTTACCACTCTTCTGTGAAGTACAAAATTTGATGGAAATTACTCATTATAATATCACTTAGGCAAAGCATAATTTTTATAGTCTTCAACCTTATTTGTTTACGTTAAATGAAATATTGTGACCTGTGGTTTCAGAATGTGAGAGAATGGATAAGTGGCTGGGTTTAAATTTAATGAAATATTTATTTCATTTAATGATTTCTCTATCACCACCAAAGGATCTTCAGACCTTGACCTCTACATGAAAGAAAGTCTACTCATAGCTAAAGATTGCCTGACCCTTAATGACTCACAAAGCTCTTTAGACCTAAAATTGTTCTAAATTTTCACACTTAACTCAGCTATTGTGTAATATATATATATAAATATATATATAAACATTGTTTCATCCGTCCATTTACTGTTTTTCTTAATAACTAAATAAACTAATGATTATGTTATCATATTATAATTTTAGTAATAATCATCTTTGTAACACAATTTTCAGATTTTGCTGAAGATGGAATAAGTTATTTCAAAATGTTCGAACCTTTTAAATAAAATGTTTTATGTTTTATCAACCATTTTCATCTTCATTATTAAACTTTGGTTTCCCCATCATTAATCCATTGCTAGTGCCAATAGTTTTCTCTGACATTTTATGCTATGTTATTTATAACCAAGAGAAATCGAAAGTTTTAATCTATCAAATGATGTATTATATTACATTATTTTTTGTACAGATAATTCTCTATTTCCGGTTTCAGTTTCCAATATGTTTTCATGAGAACCAAATCAGCTAGCTTAACTGAATTTTTAAAGGCTCTTGTTGCATAGTTAGAAAGCCAGAAAAATTATAATAGTTATAGGACATTGTTTGTCTCTTGCATCTTATTATTCTGTATTCTTTGGTGCACTATTTAATTAAATAGGAAATTTAGTGTAGTAGTACCATTAGTATAAAAGTAGGCTTAAGTGTCATCAACAGTTGACAGCAAAAAACAAGAAGACCCAGGTCGAAACGTTGTACATTTGCTGTTATGTTAAACATAAGTTTTTCTTCATTACCCATTCAAGCCATCTCCAGGCATTATTAGTCTCAAAGTGGGTTTCTTGTCATCGAAGTGTGATAATATGATAGACTGCTGGAAAACAAAGTAATTTATTGGGTAGTAGCTCGGAAAAGCAAAAGATGGGGAGTCAGTAGAATAGTATACATCCAGAAGGCTACTGGTACCATCAGTAAAGGAACTTGCTTCTTCCTGCTCTTATACAGCCAGCTTCCAAGTGAGAGGTTAGGTTCTGTTGGTGCAGCTTCAGGGATTGTTACCTAGAACTCAGCTCATTAAATAAAATTGTTTTAGATAACTTTTGTATTAATAGAAATTTTAAAATGTTCAAAAGATTTCTAAGAACATGCGTTTTACAAATGTTTTTATAGGCTATTTTATTTAAATATAGGTAAGATAAGCTAGTGACACATGCCATTTATATGTAACTAGATTAATTTTGGATGAACATTGAAAAGGGTATGTGTAAATAAGACTGTTTGTCTATTTGAACAGATTTTTGATAGCCATTTTGAAATTCAGAGTGATTCTGATTTTAGTTAAAATATAATTTTGACTGTTCATAATAGCACTTCCATACAAACAAACCAAAACATTTTATTGTGTTTTGGAATTGGACATGTAGCTTCAACTTTCTTCAGTTATTTTCTTTGGAAAAAGTTTTACTGTAGTTGAGAGTATTTAATAACTTGTTGCCATTATTTCTGTTAGTGTTAAACCAGGTGTGAATAACATCTCCATTTTTAGTAGATATGACCTAGTTTTGGGGTGCCAGATTCAAGAATGTGGACAAGATTCGAGGTTACATTATTGAGACCTCAGAGCACAGAGTGAAGCAGCTAAATCAATTACATCATCATTCCGAAACTTAAGGTAATGTGCTAATGTGTTCATATTGTGTATTGATGGTTTGGCTGAATGTTCTACTTGAGATTGTCAGACAAACAGTTAGTAGACAGTATGAGAACATTGAAATATCTTATTCATATGGGATTTGGTATCAGATACATTATTCAGGTTTTAGAATGAACAGAGAGAGAGAACAATAATAGTGTTAAGTTTATGTGTGAAGATTAAACATTTTAGTTTAAAAGTTTTTCGTCTTTGTTACCACAGTTTTTGGTAACACAGTTATAGGTTGAGTAAACTTTAAAATTTTACCTTTTAACTACCATTTTACACTTAAGTACAGTTATGTTTGCCTGAGGATACACTTGTATCTGATTCTATATTTCTAGTTCAGTGAGAACAGCAAAGTTACAGAAGATGTGTTATTGTGATATACATAACTGAAAGATAAACTGTTACATGACATAAAGAGATCATTGAAGTTTGTCATTGAGAGGTTTACTTGTTTTGTGTTGAAAGGCCTTTGATAATACAAAATAATTTGATTAAATGGTTTTGACAGAATCAAAGTCATAGTACAGAAAACTGAGAAAGTGGAAACTACTGCAAAACATCATTACTCCCAAAAGTAGACATAGTAGGTAGATTTTTGAAACTGTAATTTGGTTTTCCTATGCTAGTTAGTTTATTTAAAAATTTATTTTGCCACCAGATTGAGAAAAACCATACCTTAAAATGTAAGAAGAGTAATAATAAATAAAACATGTTCATTGGACCAGTTTGTTTACATTAAAAAACTAAAAAAATTACCATTTGATATAAATAATTTTTTTCATTACCATCAAAAACAGGAAGACAAGTCTATTTTTCTGACTGTTCTATGAACTTTATTAAAATAAATCAATATCAAATACTTTATACATTGTGTGTTCATATGAATGGGACATATGCTTATTGGTATTTAAGTGTATTCATTCCCTGTAAATAATTATAATTTTTGTAAATTGTAATATGGAATTTATTAGCTTCAATGCTAAAGAAAGATTGAAAGAATGAGGTCTCCAGTTTTGAGAATCTAATGAAAAATTCATTTAGTTTTAAAACTACAGAAACATAATTTAGATTTTTTTATTTTTGTAAGCTTTCTGTCTTGAATATTTTATATAGCCATAACTCCTATAATCTCAAACCTTTATGTTGTTAGTGGGGAGATGGTGGATTTGTAAGTTAAGAAATTGCACTGACCTTAAATATATGTTGTATTTCATTTCAGGAATTTATATTTTCTTATACGTGTTTGAGGGTATCAGCTTTCAACCATTTTTCTACACACTGCTGTGAAGTAGATGTAGAATGTAGCCAACCTGTCATCTTTGTCTCCCACACAACTATTCAGTGTCTAGAGAAGTTAGATACTTTTCTGAACATAGTATCAAGTAGAGATGTTTCTCTTATCTCATGGAGTAGAACTAACTGGTGAAATCATTAAAACTTCAAGCAACGTTTGTTGGTGAACACTTAATAAATTGAAGTTAGTAATGAAAAGTTAAAATGACCTAATCGCATAGAATGGTGAGACATCAATGATATTAAAAAGAGGTTTAAAAAAGCATATAAGCCACAAATGGTTTATATCTTTATGACAATAAGGAGTGTTTTCTTGTTTTTGCATAAGTAACATCATATACTAAATCTTTCATAATCTTTCTGAAATTTGCCAGGATTGTGCAGAGGAATTATGAGTTTCCAGAACATTCAGTTATTGTTTAAAACACAAAAAATGACTCAAGATAGTTTTTAGGTGTCTGTAAAGTGAAATATGCGAGTACATGCCTTTTTTTTCTCTAAGAGATTAATAACTTAAATAAATGTTTGTGTGCTTCTTATATGTAATCTTGCTGAATTATAAACAAGTTTATAGCAAAAAGTTTCTCCTCATAATATTTTTGTTCTATGTTTCATCAAATGGATGGTGACATGAAGACAAACTTTATTGTCATCACTGTGACTGTTGAATACTGTAATAAAGTGTTACTCTGTTTTGTTGAAGTAACTCGTATCTGTAATGTGAGACCTAAAATAATCTTTTTGGTACTTCAGTGGTTTTTTCATGCATTCTAATTCGTGGAATTATAAAATTAAATTATTTCAGATATTATTTATGTAAGATTTATGTCTTGTAGACTATGTAATCACAATTTCTGTAATCTAAGTAATTATTTCAGAAAACTAGTGTTATAAATTAATTCTGTAAGAAAATTTTTATGTTGTTCTAAAATTTAAGTTTAATAACTTTATATATATGATCTAAATAACTTTGTATTTCAAAAAGTTAATATTAAAAACGTATTGTGTTGTAAAACTTAGTAATATTATGTTTATCTGTGAGGTACAAGCAATAAATATTCAAGAAAGTTAGTATTAAAAGTTTACTCTGTTGAGAAAGTCAGAAAACTTTGTCATATTTATATGTGTAATCTAAGTAGAAAACAATATGTACAAAATGTTAAGTGTCATGGTATAGAGGTTTTTTTTATGGTTAATGCTGCTTAAAAATTGTAGGAGGTAGCTGAACTTTGATGGATTGTTTTATTGTACATTACTTAATTAAAACATTTTGTTTTATGTACCTATATATTCTAAGATTTTGAACTTGTTTAAAATTATAACCTTGTTATTTACATGATTAACTAAATGCAATAAAAATATTTCTCTAAATTGAGTCACATGTCTAGTCTAGATCTGATGAAAGAAGATCTAAAGTGACGTGTTTGATGTCAACCACTTAACACCACAATGAAATAAGTCACACTGTATATAAAATGTATGATGTAGCAAACATTGGTTGCATGCTTATTTCTTCAGTTGTATTTTCTGCCATTATCTATATTTAAGAAACATATCACAAAAGGCTGTAAGAATTATCCTAGATTACTTTTATGTATTTAATGGTACTTTGAGTACTTCTCAGGATTTCAGTTTGTTTTACTGTTATTGTTTGTTGTATTTTTTGGTATTATTTTATATATTGAGTAAGGGCTCACAGAAACATTGCATATTCTTTAGTAAAATGTTTTCGTTCAATGTTTTTCTCTAGAAATTCATAAGGTACTTACACCTAGTTTAAACTGACAATATTTTACACAGAGAGGTTAAGCATTCAGTATTCTGTTATTGTATACGTTTGTATATTAAATTGTTTTTTTTTATACAAAAACAGTAGTAATTGATGTCTTATAGAGAAATAGGTATATTTGTTATATTTATGTAAAGGAACAAAGACTTATTCGAGTGATGATGTGGCTTATCTATTTTGTAAAATGTAATGTTACTTTTGAGGTGTGTTGGTGAAAGAATTAGATGTGTTAACTGCTAGTTCAGTTTATTAACACCTACTACACAAGCCAGCCCAGCATCTTTCAGTATTGAGCTTAGGATGGTCAACAGGGGGTTCATTCTGGAAACCAGTGATTTAAGGGTATTTCAATAGATCTCAATAAATGAAGCTCAGCTAAAATGGTAAATAAACTTAATATTAATGAAAATATGACGTGATGAGATGTATATGGATCATACTATGGTGATACCATACTGGGCGTTTTACCATCCTTTTTGATAAAAACATTGCTGTGGGAAGTTGAAAATTATGACTACTTTGTGTGTATATACATATGTGTATATATGTATATAAATATACAAGTAAACATTTATATATACACACATACATACACATAATATACATTTGTACACCACATTAAAACAATACAAGTACTGAGCTTTTCATTCTTATTCATCCATCATTCCCTGATCTTTTCCCTTAAAGTCAAGTTTTCATTATTACAATAATGATATAGATGTCTTCTTTTTTATTTTTAAACTGGGACTTATTTTGACAAGAATCGTGTTTTTTAAAGCAAGTTGAAGCAGAATACAATAACTCTACTTCTACAACCATCCTATGTCATTAAATGTTATTAACACCTGCACGCGCCAGCCCAGCATCTTGACGTGGATCCCAAAAAAATTGAGTCATTCCAGAAAGGTTTGTATTGTTTTTATTAGACAAAAAGAAGGCATTTGGAACTATTTTCACAAAAGTTAACTGCAATATAAATCAATGCTGATTAAAGACTAGATTTCGATACTCATGTCAGACACAGCAATACAGCACATTGTGTAGCTTTATACTCGACAACAAAGAAACAAAAACTCAAGTATTACCAGAAGAAGAAAAATATCAATTTTCTCATAAAAGTTGACTTTTTAAAAATATTGAATGTATATGTTTTGGAATGTGATTGTGCCTTAATTTGCTTATTGTATTTTACTAAGGGATGTTGTGGAAACGAAAATTCTGACATGATTGAGCTTAATTCTATATGCTTATGATTATTACAAAATGGCCCCTCAATAGTAGTAGTAGGTATATTCACGCGATAGTTGTTTTCAACATACTATAAAATAGTAGTTCATATTAAACTAGCCTTGTTTTATAAGAAAATTTTCAAGTATATTTCTAACCACTTTACCTACAGTTATCTAGTGAGTGTTAAGTGTGCAAGCATGTTTTAACACCAAAGAGTGTCCAAATAGGTACACAGCCAACATGTGAAATTTAAAAAGTTAAGAGTATCAATACAATTTGAAAAAGATAGTCAGCGTGCACATTGAAATGCACAGAGTGCTGGATTTCAATTGAAGTTCTGCTGCTTCACCAGTCAAGCCATGTATACTTTAAATTAAGGCAAGCCACGTATACTTTAATCTAAGTCAAGCCATGTATACTTTAATCTAAGTCAAGCCACGTATACTTTAATGTAAGTCAAGTAATGTATACTTTAATCTAAGTCAAGCCATGTATACTTTAATCTAAGTCAAGCCATGTATACTTTAATCTAAGTCAAGTCATGTATACTTTAATCTAAGTCAAATAATGTATACTTTAATCTAAGTCAAGTAATGTATACTTTAATCTAAGTCAAGCCACGTATATTTTAATCTAAGTCAAGCCACGTATCTTTTAATATAAGTCAAGTTATGTATACTTTAATCTAAGTCAAGCCACGTATACTTTAATTTAAGTCAAGTACTGTATACTTTAATATAAGTCAAGTCATGTATACTTTAATCTAAGTCAAATAATGTATATTTTAATATAAGTCAAGTCACGTATACTTTAATCTAAGTCAAGCCACGTATCTTTTAATCTAAGTCAAGCCACGTATCCTTTAATCTAAGTCAAGCCACGTATCTTTTAATCTAAGTCAAGCCACGTATCCTTTAATCTAAGTCAAATCACTTATACTTTAAGTCAAGCCACGTATCCTTTAATCTAAGTCAAGCCACGTATCTTTTAATCTAAGTAAAGCCACGTATCCTTTAATCTAAGTCAAATCACGTATACTTTAAGTCAAGCCACGTATCCTTTAATGTAAGTCAAGCCACGTATCTTTTAATCTAAGTCAAGCCACGTATCCTTTAATCTAAGTCAAGCCACGTATCCTTTAATTTAAGTCAAGCCACGTATCTTTTAATCTAAGTCAAGCCACGTATCCTTTAATCTAAGTCAAATCAAGTATACATTAATCTAAGTCAAGCCACGTATACTTTAATCTAATTCCGAAACAGTCTTACCTCCCTCACCCAAAGCTATCTCGATCTTGGACTACTCTCTAAACATTGTGCCTTCATGTAATCTCCTGGGTTAGGTATTGTTCTTTTCCCTGGAAGATCTGTGGTAAGTTTTCAGCGTGTATTCCTCACTCCCATGTTTAGTGAGTTTATGTGAGCTTGTGGGGTTTGACCTACTTTCTTCACATGATAATTTAGGTCTTCTCTACTCAGTACTTGATAAGTTTGGTTTTATAATTCTTTTACCATCTAAGCTGCTTTAGTTTAAATTTGCATTTAGAGTTTGATTGTTACTTTGTTTTTATTTTATTTTCGGTATATGTAAAGATTTTGCACGAAAGTTACTATTTGGATAATTGTAACTTCGGCCAATTTTGTGGTTGTGTTGATTCGTTAAGTTACATCTAATAGGGAATTAGATGTGACTAGTAGTAAAGTAATTTTGTTATTGTTAACTGGGTGCCTTTTCATTCTCATGTTCTTTAGGGTAGGTTTTACTTTCGTGTCCCTTGTTGTATCGGTTCTTTGAGTGGTTTTTTATCTTCTAAGTTCCTTTAGTGGTTTTGTACTTTCGGGTTGTTTATTTTTTATGTTTTAGATCGAATTTCATTGTTTTGTAAGTTCGTTATTTTTATGTACTTTATAGATTACACATTTCTAGGTTTGATTAGTTCATTAGTAGTGAGTACTTTCTCTAGGTATGTTTAATATGTTTTGGGTGCACTTTACAACAGTTTCGTGGGTTCTACGAGTTTTGTCTGAAGGTTTCTGCCTTCAGTTCCACTTCCCTCGTCTTCGAGATCGTACCTCTTCCAATCGTTTTCCTAGTCTGATCAAGACTTCCTACTATATAAGAGGAATGTCGAATGGGGTTTTACTCCAGTCTAATTGTTGTCCCTCGAAACATAGGAGATTGGAGATACTTCATAGAATTGTCCTGGTTGAACTCTTATCTGGAGCCACCTTGCTTCTCCATGAAGTCCTACCTCTGATTTCCGGGAGTTTTTCTCCAGGACTCTGAATAACCAGATCATCGTGACTGGTGCCTATCTTCATATTCCAACTGCTTTGGTGTCACTTCATTTTCTTTCATTCATCCACGAGGGTCGTGTCTCCCAGTTCCTGGTGCGGCCATTTGGTTCTTCTTCAGCTCTGTGTGTTTTGTTGAGAGGTACACTCGTTTGGTCATGATTTTCACTCTTTAGGTCATCACACTCTCTTTTTCATGAATGACTGGGTCCTGCTTGCCTCTTCCTGTGCTCCATTGGTCAATCATGCTTGCTTACTTCTTTGGGAAACTAATTGGGTAGAGGTTTTCTCATCAAGTTGAAGAAGTCCCTTATCACCCCATGCAATATCTTATACATTTGGGGGTTCTCTTCAATTCCCATCTCAGTCTGGCTCAGCCTTCTCCACTGTGGTTCTAGGATATGGAGTGGACAGTCATGAAGGCCTTACCTTCTCCTTCTCTCTCAGTCTGAGAGGTTCTATCTCTTTTTGGGAAAGTGGGCTTCCTTGGAAGCTTTATTCGCTTGGGTTGGGTGCACATGTGTTCCCTTCAATGGACACTTCTTGACCAGCAGAACTTCTCCTTTGATCCCTGGGATCAATGTTCTGCTAGTTGCTTTGTATTGGCCAGCTCATACATGGTTTACTCTGTTCTGGCCCTTACTGGAGCAACAGCCTTTGCCCTTACCTCTGTCACAGTTGCTTGTCTGACAACCACGATCAGATGTATTTCATCCTGATGTCACTCAACTCCATTTTCACACATAACTTTTGTCTGGTACCTTGCCTCAGTTCAGGAACTCACCCCTCGTGTAGCATCTTTTCTTGACCATACCCTTCGACTTTCTTCCTTGTCTGTGTACCAGAGGCATTGTTCTTTCTTCAGACATTGGTCCATTTATTGTGGCTTCCACACATCCTGCCCTTCTGTTCCTCATCTGTCCCAGTTCTTCACCTGGTTTGTTCGTGTCACCTGTTGCTAGTTATAGGGCTGCACTGTCGAACAACTTCCATTTCTCATGTTTTTGGAAAGCGATCTCCTCCCCAATTGTTTCCCTTCTTTTCATTCCTTTTGTATGTTCTGTCTGCCATCCCTTTGTTCTGCTGGATTAGGATCTTAATGTTGTCCTTCATGCCCTATCCCATTCTCCCTATGAACCCATTGCAACATGTACCTTGTACCATATTTCCCTTAAAACCTATCTCCTCCTGGCATGTAGTCATTGTCATTCAGATATTTATGCCATTAATGTTTCTCATTACCAATCCTCGTATGTTATCCTCTATCCAGATCGGGCTTTCCTTCCTAAGTCATCAGCTGTCCAGGAAGGTTGTTTATCCCTTTCTCCTATTTCCTTACCTTCCATTTCCCACCTGTACTCCCATTTGGATCCACATCGACTACTTTGTTCAGTTCATTCTCTGTGATGTTATGTGGCTTAAACTGCCTCCTTTCGTGGTTCTCATTCCCATTTATTTGTTCAATGGAATTCCTCTGTTTCACGTGATCTATCACCTATTATGCTCACAGGTTGGGTTCGTCAACTTCTAAGACTGGCATATTCTTGTCCATGGAAT